ATTGCACACAATACTTTGTCCAGAAACTGAAAAACACTTTTTATTAATTTTTAATTCTGAATATAATATTTTTACTCATTTATTATCACAACTGAACAAATTATAATTAATTTACTTAACAATTAATTTTTCAAAATTTTAATTTTTAGTAATAAATTATTATTTGTTTAGGATAAAATTGGAGAAAATTAGAATAGATTGTCATGATTTATTAATGCTGATGTGGATATTAGAACAGTTAGCGAAACAAAATTTTATCTTTTTTTCTTCAATTTGAATTTCTTCAGTAGAAATACTTTGTTGATTCTACTCTTTTTTGTTGCAGCTTAACAGAATTTTTTTAGGACTTGAGACTGTCACTATATTATGTCCACTACTAATGGATAGCTGATTTATCATAGCTTCGATTTGTTTTGCTATCTTAGTTTTATTTACTATAGGAATTTTCCACATAACCTTCAGCTACAGAGCTTCGGTTAAAAATTTGTTTTCTTCTGTTGAAGTAAACACTTTGAATTTTGTGGCTTGATATCCTTTCGAATTGCTTTTCAAAAAGCAACGACTTTTGTAAATGAACTAATATCAATATAATTATTGATTTTATTGTTGTTCGAAGCATCGAATACTGCGCCCATAATGTGTTTGGTTTCCACGTCTTAGACCTGTCATTGAAATACGCGAGTAAGGGAAGTGTTCCGGTTGTGGGCACCCTTTTGTTTTTGCCTCATAACATTTGTCCATGTACATATTATACAAATATATGTGTACGAATTTAAAGCTAGAAATTATTATTTGTTTAGGATAAAATTGGAGAAAATTAGAATAGATTGTCATGATTTATTAATGCTGATGTGGATATTAGAACACTGACTATCAGTGAAGTGACTGTCAGTGAAGGAATTAAATTGATTCTTTTAAATAAAAAAGTTCTATTAGAAATTTAGTGAAATGGAAATTTTTTGACAACAAAATTTTTGTACCCGGTTGTGGGCACCCCTGAAAAATCCGCTAAAAATGAAAAAATATTAAAGGAAACCAACACAAATAAAGAAGAAATGAAAGTTTCTTTATTTTAAGAGACTTTGCCGGGATAAAGAACAAAAATGATGACACGTTTTCATACTATGCTCATCGCTAACAAAAGCATAATGCTTGCATGTGAAGTAGCTAGTACGCAAACCATTACGCACTTCTAATGCACTGAACGACTATATTCATCGCATTTAATGGAGTTTGCGGCTGTCACTTTCCTTGGCAGAAATTTTAGAAAGATAAGACAGTAGTCCATATCATTGTCAGATGGTAGAGCCTCCTTAACATAAAGGTGCCCACAACCGGGAATGACAGTCATTTTTTAAAAAGACCAACACATTTTGTGATGCAGGATTTTGGTTAAACACGAAGGTAAATCACAAAATATAATGACAACACTGCAAAAAAAAATTAAACCCTTTTTTTCTGAACGAATCTACACCCATATGTTGCTCTTCGAAAACAATACAAAATTACTTTTTTATTTATTTAATGCAAATTTTCTTTATTATGCTCACAGCTATTACACAAATGCATATATTTGTTTCGTTATCAATACGAAAAGTCCGTATTGTCAACGAACACGACTTGCAATACTTAGATCAGTAAAGTCTGCTTGCCGTCGAAGTTTACGTAGGGGTGCCCACAACCGGAGCGTGCCCACAACCGGTGCACTTCCCCTACGATATATTTTTTAAAATTTATAATTATATTTTGTTTTATTGATTGATTTATTAATTAATTTATTATAATTTAAACAGTAATAATCAGAGATAACCTGAAAATGATCCTGATTTTTATCTCGATATTTGTTGAATGTTTTATACGCAGTAGGGTGGACTGAAAAATAACTCTTTTTAGAATTCTATTCTAATAGTAAGGAAATGTTGCCTTTTTAGCTCAATAAAACAAGAGTAAAACAACAATTTCATCCATGAACAATGTTCATGGATGAAATTGTTTGTGAAATTGCATTGCAGAGCGAGCACATTGTAAAAAGTATCTGAGTTCAGAGAAAAATTTGTTGGAAAATGTTTGTTTACTTATTTCAGGTCTCTTAAACCAGTCAGTGCCGTTCTATTGGGCGATAATCGGAAGTATCATTTAACCTACAAATTTCAGAGACTTTCCAACGCTTTTAAAAAAATTTATTGTAAAATGAGAATAACTTGTGCAAGCATTAACCTGCCATTTTAAAAGAAAATCCAATCCTTTAAAATTTTGAGGTTATAAATATGTATAAATTTTATAGTTTGTTTTAAATTTTATAACTATAATAAAAATAATTAACTAACTAACAAAAGTTGGAAGTAGAGATTGCATATTCCACAACACTGCAATATTTTTTACAAAATTTTTCATTTTAGATGAATTCGGAAACACTTACGAATTTTTTTCGCCAATATTTGATAGTAGTGACTACAATTAGAAAGTAAGCATATGTATATGTTCTATGGTAACATCTTAGATTCTAAAAAGTAGATAGTAGATTGTACCCACTAACATGATGATGGTACCACGTACAATCCTTTTTTTAACCATCCATTTAACTAACTATCCATTTCTCTCAGTGTTCTATTTCTCTGAACGCTTGTTTTGCATTTCTAGAAAATATATTAGTAACAATGACTTGTGACGAGAGACATTAAGTTCGAACAAAAGCAATGAGCACCCTGATGCATTAATGCTTTCCTTCCGGTTTTGACGGCATTTTAAAAAGTCGTGACATATCTATCAAAATGTTGTTAGTTCATGACGTATGAACCAACTTATAAGTTAGTGAACTTATATGTCAGTCAATGTTGGAAATGTAATAACGTCTTGACGAGAGAATGAGAGTTGCGAGCATGAGTCAAATTAAGGGAAGGGGTTCAGGTTTACGAGGCCCAACGATTTGGTTACGAAAAATTATCTCTCAACGCGAGGCCTGGGTTTTAGAAGGCGCGCACAGTGGGAAAAAAACGACTTATTTTATTCAAAAATTCACCGACAACACAAATTTCAATGGATTTCTATGTTTTTTATTTTAAAATTCTCAGAAAGGATTGGATTAAAACATGTCACTGCGGAATCGTGTCAATTTCTCAAAATCACCTTAAAAATGTCAATAACTAAGAGAATTACAGAAAAATGTTTGCAAGGTGGGAAATTTTAACCTTATGGCAAGCTTGCCCACAAGTTTGTTAGGGGAGCGTGGGGGAATTGGAGCCCCTTAAAGAAAATTATTAAAAAAACCAACTTATATTTATAATAATACATTATTTTCGTCATTTCCTACTTATTTCGTTATTTATCTTTAATTATGTTTAATTAGAAACTTAAAAAGAGAAAGTAAATTGGAAAAAAAAAATTTAAAAAAAAAATACATTTTTTGCAATCACCCAATTTGTGGGGTAATGGGAGCTTTCACTTGAAATTTAAAAAATTTCTATATTTTAGGAATATTTTTTGTTTTCTAATAGAAAAAAGTATTAATACTTACAATAAAGCCAAAACTTTAGACTTAGAATAAATTTTTTCCTAAATTATAATTGAATAAAAAATTTTTGAAAAAAAATTAAATTTTTCATTTTTCCCACCAAAAATTATTTTTTAATTAAAAGTTTTTTCATAAGGTGATACCTTTTACAATTTTGAAAGAAATAACGAAAGACGCAACATAGTAACGAAAATTCTTTGGTCTGACACTAATTCTCCCATTACCCCACAGAATTCTTACAGGCCAAAATTTGAATAAAAAAATTAAAACATAAACAAATTTTATTATTATTTCAATTTTTATACAAGTATACATATCTACATATATTCACCTATAATATAATGAAAAAACAGAACTAAATAATACGATTTTAACTACTTATGGTGATGTTTAGAAATATTTGGCATTTTACAACGAAAACGCAAAAAATACATTTTCCCTTGTCTTTACTAAAAATTTATCAAGAATGTAATCGTTTGTTTTGGAATGATATAAACAAAGGTTGTAGAAGATTTTCTAGACATTGCAGCGAATTTGAAGGCTTTTAAGTACGTGAAATTTAAAAGCTCCCATTACTCCCAAGCTCCCATTACCCCACTCTCCCCTACAAGGTTACGTGCTATCTGGAATTTTTAATTTAAACCCCATATTTTCGTAACCAGTTATCTCAAAAATTTTCATATAATAAGTTTCGTAAGTATTTAGCAATACTTGGAAAATTGATGCACCATTTTTAATTCCCTTTTTTTACTTTTTAAAATCTGGTACTAATTTTATACTTAAGGATTTAAAAAATTCTGTGGTGTTTAGCTTTTGAGTATTTGCAATAAGCAACAAATTTAAACAACCATGTTTTTCTAATTCTCTTAGTTTTTGACATTTTTAAGGTTATTTTAAGAAATTACCACGATTCCGCAGTGACATGTTTTAGCCTAATCCTTTCTGAGGATTTTAAAATAAAAATCATAGAGATCCATTGAAACTTGTGTTGTCGGTGAATTTTTGAATAAAATAAGTCGCTTTTTTTCCACTGTGGCGCGTACGGAAAATGCGGTAGTAATAAGTTGACCACTGTATAAATTAAAACAAAATATATGTATTGAAATGAACTCGACTGTATATTTTTTCACGTTATTTATTGTCTCTGTCTTCACCTTCGTGTTATTTCTGTCCTAAAATTTTATAAGTTAATTTTCTTTATTTGGTTACGTTTTGTAACACGTGGCGACCGTGACAGGACTTATAAATTTAGGAATTGTATAGTGTGAAGAATTGAAAAAACGTGGTCAAGATGGATGTTCTCAAACGAGTCCGCAAAATTCGTCGGTCTGCTTTCACGAAAATTTTAAACGAGCTGAACGAACTTCTAAATCAAGAGGATAGTGATAGAGACCTTATTTCTGTCTGTTTCGAACTATTGCAAGAGAAAATGACAGAATTAGACAAAAGTTCTCAACAATTAATGGATTATATATTTTTTCGATGGAAGACGAAGAGGAAAGCGCGGCCAATTTTGATATGGAAGGTGCGTCAACTGACGACTACAAAAAGAAATTCCTGGCTGCTAAGATAAAAGTATCGCATTTAAGGACACCTGTACAAGTCCCTTCACCAGGTATCCCGGTACATACAGCAATGGTTCAGCAAAGTAATACGAAAACTTTTAAGTTGCTGAAGATAGAAATCGTGAAATTTTCCGGTAATGTGCGCGACTGGTTGCTTTTCTGGAACCAATTCAGAAAAATTCATGAAGACGGTACAATTAATGACGAGGACAAATTTCAGCATTTAGAGCAGTCAATTGAAGCCGGATCGCGAGCTCATGAGCTGGTTAATAGTTTCCCGCCAACGAGGGAAAACTATCAAAAAGCAATTTCTAGTTTGAAAAATCGTTTCGGAAAGGACGAGTTGCAGGTGGAAGTGTACGTGAGAGAACTGCTATGTTTGGTACTGAACAATGTGGTGCGTGGAAAAGAAAAGATATCACTCGTTCAATTGTATGATAAACTTGAAACGCAAATGCGCGCATTGGAAACGCTATGCGTGACTTCAGATAAGTGCGCGGCCATGCTCTATTCGTTAGTAGAGTCTTCACTTCCGGAAGATGTGTTAAGAGCGTGGCAGCGAACTCCGGCAGCAAGTGGCGCCAAAGATTCAAAATCTCGATTAAATCTGTTGATGGAATTTTTGGGATCGGAGGTGGAGAACGAAGAGCGCATTCGGTTGGCGATATCGGGTTTCTCTCTGGGAGGAGCTGAAAAAACAAAGCGTCAGAAAAGCAAGGAAGATTCATCGCGAGAAATAATACCTACGGCCATGGAATTGTTGACTACCCAAAGGACTATGGAGTGTATGTTTTGTGAAAATAACAATCATGAAAGCCAAGATTGTTATAAGGCAAAAAGAATGAGCCTTTCGGAACGTCGGGAAACAGTCAAGGTGGCAGGTACTTGCTTCAACTGTTTAAAAAAGGGGCACAGCTTTAGACGGTGTAAGTCAAAGGTGAAATGTGCTTGGTGTGGAAAGATACACGTGTTACTTATGTGTCCTGAAAAAGGGAAAAATACGATTGGTGGTGAAAATACGGACTCTAAAGGTGGCGCGTGTGAAGAGCAGAATTTGGCAAGTCTGTCTAGTGTCCCGGAAGTACATTTACAAACACTGTGTGTCAGAATAGTTAACGGCAGCCGTGAATGTGTTGTGCGAGCACTGATCGACAGTGGTTCTCAGCGCTCTTACCTCACGCGTGAAGTTATAGAAAAAATGAATTATAAGCCCATTGAGAATTGTGAATTGATCCATAGTCTTTTTGGCGGAGTGAAGTCGACACCAGAAATGCACGGTGTATTTTTGGTGCATTTGAAAAGTGTGAACGATGACTATGCCTGCAATTTTAAAGTGATGGATAAAAATATTATATGTGGTGAAATAGCGCGTGTGAAATCGAGCGACTGGTTCAAGGAGCTTAAAAGCAACGGCGTGAGTTTGTCGGACATTGGAGAGGATATGAAACCTATAGATCTGTTAATTGGCGCGGACGTCGCTGGAAAATCTGTTAACGGGTAAAAAATTCGATCTCCAAAATGGTCTTACTGCTCTGGAAACAAGGCTTGGCTGGACGGTGATGGGGAAGAACACTACCGAATTTTCCAGGGGCGATACAGTTTTGTTCAATAATGAATTACAAATTGAGGAAGCTACTGTCTCTGATTTGTGGCGTCTTGATGTTTTAGGAATTGACGATCCAGAGAGGAGAAAAACCAAAAATGAAAGAGAAGCAGAAGTGAAACGTATCTTTCAAGAAACCGCTGTTTTTAATGAAGAGAAAAGGTACGAAGTAGCTTTACCCTGGGTGCAGGAACATGCACCTCTCGCGTCGAACAAAGTGTTGGCTGTTCAAAGATTGGAGAACACTCGGAAAAGTCTGGAAAAGAAAGGGTTGTTTGACAGATATGGGAAAATTTTCCAAGAATGGGAGCGAAAAGGAATCATTGAACGAGTTCCAGAGAGTGAGATGGAAAATCTGTCCCACTATTTGCCTCATCGGCCAGTTGTAAAACCAGATAGTATTTCAACGAAGGTTCGTCCGGTGTATGATGCGGCAGCGCGAGAAAGAAATTCCCCCTCCCTCAATCAGTGTTTAGAGAAGGGGCCTAATTTAATGGAATTAGTACCTATAATTCTTCTCGGATTTCGAAGGGGAAAAGTAGGAGTGATAGCAGATATCAAGGCTGCTTTTCTGCAAATTAGTGTGATGTGTCGTGATCGCGATTATTTGCGTTTTTTGTGGTACTCGGGTGAAAAAATAATAGTTTATCGGCGTAGAAGAGTGGTTTTTGGTCTAACGTGTAGCCCGTTTTTATTGGGAGCGACTATTGAATTACATTTGGACAAAATTTTAAATAGTGACGTCGTTTCGAAGGCGAGCAAGAACACTGTGAAGAAGATGTGTAATTGTTTTTATTCCGATAACTGTGTAACTAGTGTGAACTCTATAAACGAATTTGAGTTATTCAAAGAAGAAGCAACAAGTGTTTTAAAAACCGCGGGTTTCGATCTTAGACGGTGGGAGCATACAGGTGATCATAATAATAGGGAGACATCGGTTTTGGGTCTACTCTGGGATAAGGTGGACGATGTGTTGTGAGTTAATCTTTCTGGTTTATCGGCGGCGTTGAAAATCAATAAAGTGACGAAGAGATATATTTTGTCTGTGGCCCAAAGAATTTTCGATCCCATCGGATTTACGTGTCCGGTCACGCTTGGTCCTAAACTACTACTGCAACAAATATGGAAGGACAACGCGGGCTGGGACGATGCACTCGAAGGAGAAGTCAGATCGGATTTTCACGAGTGGTTGAAGAGTTTGACTAATCTCAAGGACGTGCGGATTCCAAGAAATTTCGGTGCCATTTCTGAAAATAGTCGAGTCAGTTTTCACGTTTTTTCGGACGCCAGTGGACTTGCATATGCTGCTGTGGTTTTCATTCGCATAGAAGAGGAAGCAAAGTGGAGGTCCAATTGATTGGTGCAAAATCCAGAGTGGCGCCAACAAAGAAGATTACCATTCCGCGACTGGAGCTACTGGCGGCATCGATTGCGGCCAGATTGGCGAAAACACTGATCGATGCTTTTCGTTTCGAGGATCCAGAAATATTCTATTGGTCCGACTCAAGTACAGTAGTGACTTGGATAAATGAAGAATCTCAATGGAGTACTTTTGTGTTTAATCGTGTGCAGGAGATCAGGAAGTTGACAAGGGTAAAATGGAGACATGTTCCCGGCGAGGAGAATCCGGCGGACTGACCTTCGAGAGGCTGCAAAGCATCACAGCTGGCTGCTTCGAGATGGTGGGAGGGACCGCGTTGGCTGAGATTTTCTCGAAGCAATTGGCCCAACGCAGAGTTCCAGGTAAACAAGGAGGAAGTAAATGTTGAGAAAAAGAAGTCCGCGGTAAGTTCAACTTTTATAAATGTAAAAATTGAAGAAAAAAGTAGTCAGTTTTTTAAATATTTCTCGGTGTTTAGTAAAATTGTGAAAACCGTGGCTTGGACGCGAAGATTCATTGAAAATTTAAAAATAAAGGAAAAAGAAAAGAGAAATTTAACGAATTTTATTTCTTGTGACGAGTTAAATTCAGCGGAGATTTTATTATTAAAATTAGTATAAAAAGAGATGTTTACTGACGAAAATGACAAGAAGTTAAAATGTTTGGATGTATTTAAAGACGAGAACGGGTTATTAAAAATAAAAACAAAAGTGTTTAATCGTGAAGATGATGTTGCTTTTCGTTGTCCGGTTGTGTTAGATTCAGCTCATGTTATTGTTTCGCGTATGATTGAAGACGAACACCGGAATCTCAAACACGCAGGTAGTCAAATTTTGCTCTGTAATTTACGCGAAAAATACTGGATATTAGCTGCTCGTAGAAAAGTTCGGGAAATATTGTTAAAATGTGTAAAATGCAAACGCTATGCAGTTAAAAGAATGGAAACAAGTAAAACACCCCTACCTATAGAGAGAGTAAGAGACGCAGCCGTGTTTGAGATTGTGGGAGTTGATCTCGCTGGGCCTCTGTATTTGAAGGAAAACGAAAAAGCATATGTATGCCTGTTTACGTGTGCGATATATAGAGCAATTCATTTAGAGTTATTGTCATCCTTGTCTACAGCAAATTTTATTAAGGGTTTATGTCGATTTATCGCAAGAAGGGGTAGACCGGCTGAGATTTTTTCAGATAACGGCACAAATGTTGTGGGAACCGAGAATGGTTTAAAAAATTTAAACTGGGATAATATTGCGAGTTACAGTGCGGCCAAACGAATTAAATGACACTTTAATCCCCCCTCCGCAGCATGGTGGGGAGGATGGTGGGAACGTTTGATTCCAATTCTCAAGCAATTGTTACGTAGAGTTCTGGGTAAGGCATGTGTTAACTACGAAAACATGATGACGATTCTCTGCGATTGCGAGGCAATTGTAAATTCACGCCCGCTTACCTACATGTCATCAGATCCTACTGATTTATCTCCTTTAACGCCAAATATGTTTTTAAAAGAATTCTCCGAAACCGGAGTGCCAGATTTCGATGTATTAGAAGCAACGACGTCAAGGCAGGATGGGATTAGAGAAAGATCGCGCTATTTGCAAGAACTCGAGGTTAATCTAAGACACAGATTCCGATCCGAATATTTAGGACAATTGCGAGAAACCGTAAAAATAAAAGAGAAACGTTAATTAAAAGTGGGAGATCTCGTTTTTATAGGAAATGATCAATCAAAGCGGATAGAGTGGCCTTTAGGTCGAGTAATCTCTGTTTTGCCTGGCCGAGATGGTCAAATTAGAGTTTATAGAGTAAAAACAAAGGACGGAGAATTGCTCCGCCCTATTCAGCGGTTGTACCCTCTTGAAATCGAGCAGAGTGTGAGTGACAGTTCGCGGGATTCTGAGAAAGAATTGTTAAATGTGAAATTCGACAACCTTCGACGAAGAAAAAATGTAAATTTTGTAAATAAGAATGAGCGAGTGAGGTAGAATGTAGAAAAGCCTAGGGAAGAGAGAACACCTTATGTTACTCGTAGTGGTAGAATCGTGAAAAATAGATTTCCTTCGATATGATTATAAAATCATGGTGGGAGAATGTTGGAAATGTAATAACGTCTTGACGAGAGAATGAGAGTTGCGAGCATGAGTCAAATTAAGGGAAGGGGTTCGGGTTTACGAGGCCCAACGATTTGGTACGAAAAATTATCTCTCAACGCGAGGCCTGGGTTTTAGAAGGCGCGTACGGAAAATGCGGTAGTAATAAGTTGACCACTGTATAAATTAAAACAAAATATATGTATTGAAATGAACTCGACTGTATATTTTTTCACGTTATTTATTGTCTCTGTCTTCACCTTCGTGTTATTTCTGACCTAAAATTTTATAAGTTAATTTTCTTTATTTGGTTACGTTTTGTAACAGTCAATTCAAATATGTCTAACCTAAAAATTCGTTTTTCATTTTTCATAAATGCGATAAATCGACTTCAAGTATTAATGTTTTGACAAGTGCAAAGTGTTTATTCATTATAAACAATTATTTTAATTCATATTTTTATTAATTATTCCTAGTTATTCCAATGTTATTGTAATTTTCTCATAAACCCAAAATGATACCGCTTTTTACTCATTTTGAGTCTTTTCCCCAGAAACTCAGAATGAGTTGAAGGGGTATCATTTTTGTTGCACTTAAAAATGAGTATCATATGATACTTATTTTGAGTATAGTTTTTTTCTGTATGAGAAAAATTTTAGATGATAGAGTTAAGTGCTGCAAACGGAAAGGTTCCAGAGAGTATTTTATCAAAATTAATATAATCAGCAAAAAACTAGTACGAGATGATTGTTTGTTTTAGAATACTTTAAGGCATTAAAAATTTGTCAAAAGCTGTTAATAGTAATAATTTTATAACAAAAAAAATTTATGATTTTTACGTTTTGTCAAAAAAAAATTTTTTTGGTTTTCTGCTATCGACTGAAGATATTCATGTTTTCACATGTTTTATTGAGCTAAAAAGGCAACATTACCTTATTCTAAAGAAAGTTATTTTTCGGCCCACCCTAATACGCAGTGTCATATTTCGCTGCTGATTTTTGAGGAATTTATTTATTTTTAGCTTTTAATGCCTTTAATCAATTTTTTAGAGGTGTTAACTCGTTGCTGTTTCTGTTTACATTTTCACGTTTGTTTTTAAAAAACACAATCACAAAATAAATTGTTTGTTTTGACCGTTTTGATAGAAAAATCGGATAAACAAAGTTTGAAAACAAGTTACATGGAGCGCAAACAGATGGATACACTGTCGCAACTGATCCATTCACTATTTAGCATGTATGCGTTTCAGGAATAGGTACATAATTAGTATTTACGTAATTAGCCGAATTTAGCTTCACCCGGGACAATAGTAAGTTAGTAAGTTACTTATTTTATGAGTTAGCAAATAAGTTAATTAATTAGTTATTTAGTTAATAAGTTAGTAAATAAATTAGTTAGTTAGTAAGTAAGTTAGTAAATAAATTAGT